GAATCTTTCTCATTGTCCCTCATCTCTTGGAGTCTCTGTTTGCATACTGTCACTAAACTCATGGCATTTATAATATCCTAATATTTTCTTTGTAATGCTTTAGACAATTCATTTGAAATCTCTAAGATGGTTCTCATGAGATGTAAATTAAACACAAACTCAAAGGACTGCATTGAGTCCAATAAATTATCAACCTCACATTTTTGTTCATCTGTTGATCCATCAACTGAAATCATTTCAATGATATCAATTATAGGTGAGAACATCAAAATCAAATTAATCAAAGTACGATAATGCGATCCCCAACGTATATCACCAAAACGCACAATAGTACTTTATTGATTAAGACCTCGTCCACTTGAAATCTCACCGTTAATGAGTGCTTCAGAAATTATGGCTTCTTGTTTCTTTCCAAAAATATCACAATGTTTAGAAGAAACTCTAACAATATTCACCACGCTAAAAACCAAATTAAAGAGTGAATGAGCAAAACAATGAATATAAAAGGCTTTCAAAATAAGTGTTTGGAATCGGTTATTGGAATTTGGAATCCCACGATTCCCACCGCTGCCTACTAAGTTCGCACGGTTTGAGAATTGAGGGGAAGGGAAGGGAACGAGTTCGCAGGAGAAGAGAATTGGGTGGGAGGGAGGGGAGGGGGGGTGGGGTGGGGTTCGAGAATTGCAATGTGTGGGCAATTTTTTCTAAATGTTAAAAGACTTGGGCTTGGGTAGTTGGGTGGGCTTTTGTCAAGGCAAAAAATTAAGGCTTGGCTTTTATAGTCTTCAAGACATGGTCAGTGCATATATTTGTAAACTTTGGTGGAGATTTCGACAGCATAATTCTCTATGGGCAGAATTTTACACAAAAAATACTGTCAAGGCTTTTGCCCTGCTCTAGAGTGCCACAAAAATGGTTCCAAACTCAAATATAGAGATACCTAAGGGAAGAAAGCCTCGCTGTGGAACCTCATATCGCTTTGAAACTAGGGAAAGGAAAAATTCTTGAACATCGATATAAATTCAAGATTGCATCTAAGTGCTTGTTGCGACAATCAGGAAACTTTTCGTCATGTATTCATGCGAAGCCAGGTGGCACAAAGTGTACGGTATCGTTATTCAGCCATTCTGAAACTTGATTTCAGCCGACTTCAATACAAAAAATAAATTCCAATTAGGTGCAAGCAGCCACCAGTAGTACAGTACACATAATTATCAACATACTTTTTGTTGATAATATAGTCTTTGGATGAACCGAAATGAAGCTAAACCCCGATTTACGATCATTAATTTCCGCCACATTTCTGGAGAGTTGATAATCTTATACATAAAACACGTTTAATTTTCGGTTTTCACGAATCTCTTGGTCTATTAATAAATATGAAAGCAGAAACCAAAACCTTGAACAGAGAGTGTAAGGATGTGCTTGCAAAGGGGGATGACAAACACATGGATTGAGCTGGACTCCATGGCTTTAATAAACCTTTTCCATTCAAATCATATTGGACCGTGTTCTACTCAAAATTCCATCCACCACATCAGGACCATTTTCGCTCAAATGGAATTCAAATTATCTCATGTTTATAGTTGAACCCAACAACGTGCAAGGCGGCTTGAAAAATATCCTAAGACTTGATAACCAGTGGTTGCCTTATGTTAGATTCAAATAATTTTTTGTCACCCTAACTCCAGAGGTAAGGTTACTAAGTCTATGTGCCGACTGTAACATTTGTTCGATCAATAAAATAAGGTCGATGAATCCGACCCACTCATGGAGTCAAGGTGTAGGCATAAAAACTACTTCAAGGCTTTGGTGGTGGTTTGCTTTAAAAAAGAATCTAGTCTACACTAATCAATAATTATCCATGTACGCGGGTGACAATCTTGCAAACCGCGTACATGGGTGATTGTAACCGCGTATGTGAGGACAACTTGATATGATGGGATCAATAATTATCTATGATGGACATTGAAGTAAGAGTTACTTGATATGCACCCTTGTAAAGTACCACGTCAGAGGCCGTC